GTGATATGACCTATTCAAGTATGACTGGCAAGCTATATAGTAAAGAATCTGCTGCACATTGCACCAAATCTGTTTTATGATATGCTTGGTAGTACCCATTCTTTCAACCAACTTTTTTTAGCTTGAAAGAGTTCCAGACCAATAAAACAAGCTCTTCTATAGTTTACTCTTCATTGAATTTTGCCGTCCAAAATGGCCTCCAATTATTGCTTGTAGATGGATGCCGTATCTCAAAATAATGATTTTCATGCACTTCGCCATTCACAGATCTGGAAGTCTATAGATACGATGACTGCTGGCAAAGGAACAGAAACTAACTGTAGAGTAAGTAAAGGCTAGTTTACAATATAATGTTAGGCTAATGTACCGTCAATTTTTAATCAAAAGTGTGGGCGATTTGACCTTTTGATGCATGCTTTCCGCTAGAATAGAACCAGATTCTGTTCTTACGTCTACGTAACGTCAGAACTTGCGTAATATTGTAAACCAGCCTTAACAGAAGAATAAGAAGATATCTTAATGTAAAACTTGGTTTTAAAAGTATATAAATATCTGTTTTCCATCTCACAGATGTTGTCCTTGAATTAACTAGATCTTTGATAGATGCATTTTACTACTGTAGCTCTCCTCAATTAAGGAGCTTCAAAATGTAGTGATGGACTTTCAGAGTCCAGGGTACTCAATCCTTTGATTCTGAATGGAATCGTACTCATATCAAAAGAGAAGTGGGAATCGTTTGAAACAACTCCAAATTAAGCCACACCTAACCACACCCTTTAATATTAATAATAGTTTTAAGACCAGTAGTTAATATACCTGTATTAATTATTCATTATTGGACTCGCCATGCTTGCGTAGGCGGGTACTATGCAGTTGGGTTGTCATTCTGTCGCAAAAATTCCTGTTAATTCCTGGTCAATATCTTTTTTATTGAGCTCTCCTGAGTTATAATTCTTTTAAAGCTTTAAGAAAAAGGTAATTTATTTAGCTCCATTGTATTTTAGTAGCAATCCATGATAGCAAAGCCTGAAAATTTTCAAGAATAGAGCACTTTTCCTAGTCAAATCTTCATGTTTCACTCTATTAAAAATATGTGGGAATTTTCTTATCTCTTTTTTGTTTGTGAGTTACAGTTGCTCAAAGTTTGTGATTTAGCCTCTTTGAAAAATTTTCAGGCGGCACTGGGGAAAGCAGGAGCAACCAAAGTCTCTCAGTCTCTTTTAAATATCTAGGCAACAGTTTTGTGCCAACTTTTTCTTTGAATAGAGCTTCAGATGCTAAAATACATTTTAGCTTTTCTTCTTTTTCCTAGCCACGTGCCATGTTTATCTGGCATATCTGCTGACCACACCTATAATTTTATGGATCAGTGCAGTAATTGCATTGTTGCAAAATCAATTATCCTTTTTTTAAATATCAAGTTGCTTATATATAATATCACCATGGGGGCAGTACAAGTAACACATTATCACTCAGTTGAATCTCAGCAGGCGAGTCCACGCACCATAGGTGCTTCATTATTATTAGTGTTGCAATAGGTAACATGTGGTTTTGCACATGCGTAGATGTAGTACTCAGAATTGGTATTCTATTCCAGTCTCAAAAGTATTTGGGATTGGTATCATGTGACAGTCATAACTAAAATAACTACTACATT